ACAAATAGGGCATCAGAAGCATTTTTTTAGCATGCGTAGTCTATATGCACATGGAAGAAAACCAAGAAAGAAGTTGTTCTCAAGGAGGTGGCTTTAAATTCTTATTTATATGCAATCCTCCATAAAGAACAGTATCTGTTTTTAGTGTTAGTGTTTGGTGTGTGTGTGTGTGTGTGTGTGTGTGTGTGTGTGTGTGTGTAAGGACAAAAAAATACATTGAGTGCCAAGGGGTGGCATATTGTAGGCAAACAAAAACAAATCAATACTGGTAGGAGCTAGAAAAGAGATACCTGTGTAGATTCTTTTGGTGTAAATTCCAGCCCTAGTAGTATAGGAAATGGAACCTTTAGTAGGGTATAGATTTATATAATTATGTACACATAGAAGGATGCAAAAGACCTCTCTTATCTCTTCTTAATGATTTTCTTTTGTTATTTATTTGTTTTCCAGATAAGATTTATATATGTAGCTTTGGTTTTATCCTGGGCTTCAATCTGAAGACCTGATCTGGAACTCAAAAAGATCCCCCTGTCTCAGGTGCTGATATGAAAGCACAAATACCACTAGCTAATTCTTAATTGCTGGGAGCTCAAAAATTCTTTTTCAGCTTCTGGTGGTGGTCTCTTGTCTCCTACATTCTAAAATAATTCTCCATGTCAGCAATGTATTGTTTACTAACTACAAAACATGTGTAGAGATATTTCTGAAAAGTATTAATTATTTCTTCACAATAACCAAAAGTCATCTGGTTAAAAAATAGTCTCCCAGGAGATCTCCTTAAGAATCTGGGGACAAGGCAGGGTGGTAAAGGGGAGGGGGATGAGAAAATAAGGGAACAGCTTGGTTTCTGGGGATGGACAGAGTGGGAGAGAAATGAAAGTGATATCTTGATAGAGAGAGCCATTATGGGATTACGGAGAAACCTGGTGCTAGAGACATTCCTAAGAATTCACAAGTGTGACCTCAGCTAGGACTCCAAGCAATAATGGAAAGGGTGTCTGAATTGGACTTTCTTTGTAATCAGATTCGTGAATAACCCAATTGTCATTGTAGAGCCCTCATCCAACAATTATAGGAAGCAGATGTAGAGATCCATAACCAAGAACCAGGCCTAGCTCTGTGAATCCAGTCAAAGAAAGGGAGGAAGGGACACGTGAGCAAGGGAGGTTAAGATTATGATGGAAAAATCTACAGAGACAGCTGAAGCACACATGTGGAAAGGCATGAACTCTACCTAGATCACTGTGGAGCTTCCAAAGGACAGAATTAGGACCTCCGTATGTGGGAGATATTTGTGAAGCTTGGACTATCTGAAGGGTACCAGACAGTAGAAACAGGATCTGTTTGTGTAACATGAGGTAGATTTTGGAGCCCATGCCCTATATGATGGGATTCCATACTCAGCCTTAATGCATGAGGAGGGCGGTGGTCTTGGAAAAACTTATTGTGTCAGACTTTGTTGATACCTCATTGGAGCACTTACCCATTGGGGGGAGAGGATGAGGGTGTGCTGGGGCAGAGACAAGAAAGTCTGGAGGTGTGGTCGGAGGGAGAAGTATGGTTGGAATGTAAAATGAAATAAAAAATCAGTAATGAATTAAATATCCTCACATTATATATAAAGTAAGTTCATACAATGTAATTTAAACATGTTTTGGTCTAAAAATATCAATAGAATACAGTAAACATATATTAAAGAGAACAATAATTTTGATATAATTTAAAATGGCTTTCTTTTATGATTGGATTTTTATAAACTAGGAACAAAGTTTGGGCTTTACAGAAAAGTATGTATGATATTTAGAAAAACTTTACCACGTAAGCTTAACAGAAAATATCTTATCATGCTATAGATGAAGAAATAGAGCTCAAAGAGGTTTATAATTTTCCCAAGTTTGCATTATATGAACATATACCTATGACACAGGTCTAACACCTCAATCATGTTCTTTCTAACAGGCCAAATGGCATTGAGGACAACGGTGGCCCTATTTAATTAAAGCTGAATATACTCATTCCAATGAAAAAAACCTTGACGTTAACACAAAGACAAAAACTAACTAATGCAATACATAAAAGTACAAAGAGAGTACTTACAGAAACTGGTTCCCTCATTCTACTCTGTCTGCACCAGGAATCAAACTCAAGGTATCAGGCCTGGAAACAGGGCACTTTACACCGAGTGACCTTTCTGGAACATTACATTATGTGTATTGCTAGTTCTTCTCAGTGGTATATTTGGTATTTTAAAAGAGCTAAATAAAGGTTCTCATCAATGCACTTCAATCTGCTCCAGTAAGTCACTATTGTGAAAAGATGGTTTGGATATAGAAGGTCACCCAGCAACAAACTACAAGAGGTCAAAGGGACTGGGCCAGGCTTTCAAAGCAAGCTTTTGTGAGAACATAGAATGTAAATAGAAATATTCCCTTATTTTTCTGTTTGATTTCATGAACTCATTATTTCTAAGGATTACAGCTGATTGTGAGATGAGCCAAGGGGAGAACTGGTCACTATCAACATTCTTAGAGGAGCAGGAAGACTCACAGAAACTTTAACAGAATCTGTTAGCCAATCAAGAGTTTTCATTTCACAAGTGGCATAGGGCATTACAAAAAGTAACACTGTATCGAAACCGTGCAAACCAAGATGCATTTGTCTTTAACATTAAATGGGAATTGAATTGACCTCTTTGGATTTTGCAGTTGATCCCTGCTGTCAGAATTTGTGTTTTTCCTGTTTATTCTCTTAGAGATACAAGGAGGAATCTGGTGTTTTACCCAGCATTGAAGCTACGTAGATTTCAATGCAATACTGGCTATATATTGTATACTAATTTTGTTACATAGCCTTCATGGATATATTTTTGCAAAACTATGAATTAGTTATATCTCTCAACAATAAACGAATTCTAGGTTCTTCAAAAAGTACTGTCCCCCCTTTTCCTCTAAAAATAATACATTTTGATATTGTTCTCTTTTGAAAGTTACCGCAAAAATTCTAAGTGATATATAACTAACAGCCTTCAATCTTTGCCTTTTTAGATTTTTACTTAATTAGAGTAAACTTACAAAATTATGAAGGTCTAGGTCTTACCGTTGCTATATTTTCCTAATACTTTTAATACTCTTAGTACATCTGTTTTCATTGAACACCTTTGCAGGCTTCTCCTTAATCATCATCTTTATTTACTGAAGATTTTGTCACAGAATCATTTCTCCATATATATAACTTCATGGTGCATACTAATGTGTATATGACAATGATCAAATCTCCTATGAAGTTCTCTCTTCTGTGCTTTAGATCAAAAAGTTACTAATGAATATTACCTATTCAACACATTTCTAAGAGTTTCTCAGATAGTCCATGTTTTCTCTTTCACTATTTGCACATGGTGCTTGAAATACCCTACTCAGAAACATTTTTATTTCTTCCTCTCTGGTTTCTAACCAATAATATGACAGCTCTTAAAATTAATGATAATAACCCACCCTGGAACTGAATCACTCTAAGTCTACAACATGTATTCAGCCTGTTCCTGAACTTTGGTAATAGGTATGATGCATAATATATGTGATATAAACTATACCAATGTTTTAGAGGAAACATAAGTTGTGTTTTATTACTCTACTTCAAATAAAATGTTCTTTAAAACTTTACTTGCCTGTGAGAAGTATAAACAGGGTCTGTCATTATGTGAGCCTTATTCTACTGACATATGGGTTTGTATTATCTCCAATATACCTATACATATATGATACGTATATATGTATATATACATGTGTGTATATATATGATACTATTGTGTGTGTGTCAATATGACAAAGACACACCCTCACCTCCAAACCACACACATATACAACGTTGTTAGATTCCCAGAACCTTCTCTGTGGAAAGAAAGAACTAAATCTCACAAGTTGTCCTCTGACCTCCAGAGACACACCCCCTTCCCCTAAACATACATAAAAATATAAACATTATTCTTGAAAAGAAGACAGATGAGTAACGTATCCCCATTCCATCTCTGGAAATGTGGAGTTTTCTGTGAAAACTTGTGTGTGTGTGTGTGTGTGTGTGTGTGTGTGTGTGTGTGTGTGTGTGTGTGTGCATTGAAAGCTTGAAAAGTCTAGAATCTGATATCTACCAGCAATGGCCACAGCAATAGTTGCACTAGTCCAGGAAGAATGAAGCTTTATGCACTAGTTTTATTTGTTTTTGACTTTTTAATTCCAAGTAGTCTCCCAGCCTATTATATAATTCTAGCCACATCTAGGGCAAGAAATTCTCCTATTTCTCTCCCAGTCGTCTCTGTAAATACCATAACATATTTGTCACACATGTGTTTACTAATTCCTTAACCAATTCTCATTCTCAATCTAGTCATGTTGACAATCATAATTTGCTATCATGGTATGGGGCCACTCAATTACAGGAGGTATTTAAAACAAAAAAATAGACAGCTTAGTTGCCCATCAACATATGAAAGCATAATGAAAGTATGAGGCATACATATTCATGAAGTATTCTTCAGATATCAAAAAAGGAATAAAATACTGGTATTTCCAGAAAAAAAACAAGCAATCTCGGGGTATTACATTAAGGGAAATAGGGCAGACACTCACGTCACATGTTCTTTGACATGTATGGGAACAGTTTTCGAAGGATCTGATGAAGAACACGTATTAAGGAAGCTATAGCTATGTGGCCAGAATGGTAGGAGAAACTGGGTAGATGAATGGGGTAGACGGTGGTTCTCATCATTGCAGATATGTGCGTGCATGTTTGGATATGGCAGAGTAAATCTCATTCATGTGAATACTTAAAGCATATGTGCTTTGTAAAACAATAGACAGGAAACATGCTTCAGGGGTCCAAGTCAAAATGGAAAGTAGATGGGAAAGTGAGTCAGCCATCTCCTTCCTGTGGGAGATGCTTTCAAATGATTTGGTAATTTCCCTTACTTATTAAAGGAATGTATTTAATTGAAATACTCAAGTAGATTGTGAAACATTTTCAAATTTATTGAACACAATGTTTACAAGGAAAGGTATTTATGTTGTTTAATATAAAAAGGTATACCATAAGAAGAAAACCAAGAGAATAATTAATGAGTTAATGCATACACAGGTAAACTTATGCACACTCACTGACAATTTAACTTGAAAGACATAGTAGTCTAGATAACATACCACCAAAGAGCAGAGGTGGAATACTGAGATAAAAAATTAACTATGTCTGTACATAAATAAAATGCTGTCGATCAGCACTAAGGACAAGCATCACTTACCAGCTGAACAAACCAATTAAATGAAAATTAGTCCTGGAGACATCACAAACATCCTCCCCAAAGATAATTCTGGGAACTTTTGTTGTTGTTGTCGTTACTGTTTTTCCATTTGTGATAATTTTTTAGCAGTTTAGTGTCTGTTTTACAGGACAACTATAAGTTGCGGTAAGTAATTTTATAAGGTCATAGTGTTAATTCTACCGTTTACCGCCAAAATATAACTACTAGTGTTAGAGAGAACGAATCCATATATATGACAAGGGGGCTGATAAATCAATATTTGTACAACTTTGCAGGGATTGCTGTTCACAAAACTGCTCAGCACTCACATGAAGGTTGAGGGACATGGAGGCTGTTGTGTAGCACACAAAATAATGATGATTCAGATGTACCAATTTCTATTATAATTTCTGGTAGTGTGGCAAATCCTTTGTGTGTGTCACATCACATAGGATCACAGCTTTTCTTCATGGTCCCCAGAGAGCAGAGAACAAAGACATGTTTCCACAGCCATTACATTCTGATGTTGCTGTTTCAAAACAGAGATATCAGTAGTTACTATACACTTCTCTTCAAAGACTACAGCCAAAGCATCACATACATACTTGCTAGTCAGTATTAAATATACACTACTTACGTTTTCTGTGGTAAGTTTCTTCTTCAAGTTATCCATTTCTTCTTTCATTGTGCATTGCTCAAAAGCATCTAGACATTGGTGATTATCCTCGAGATCTTTGATACTCTAAAACAAAACAAGGCAATGCAAAAGAACTGTTTAGCACCATTGGAAATCCCCACTCTCCATGTCACATTCAAAACATTCAAAGTCCAAAATTTTCAAACTTTCACCATCAGAGGATGCTTGTTATAAATGCAAAACATGGTGACATTTAAGCTGATTTTAATGTTCATTAAAATACTGAAGTGGGCCGGGCGGTGGTGGCTCACGCCTTTAATCCCAGCACTCGGGAGGCAGATGCAGGCAGATCTCTCTGTGAGTTCGAGGCCAAGCTGGACCGACAGCCTCCAAAACAATACAAAGAAACCCTGTCTCGTAAAACCAAAAGAAAATCTTCTTATAATACACATGTTTCACACACAATCTTTCTTTCTTTCTCTCTCTGTCTCTGTCTCTGTCTCTCTCACACACATATATGCACACTCCTACATACATAAATATAACCTGTATAAAAGGAGTGTTACAAAGAATCTCCCCAAAGTACTAATTAAACCACTGAATACTGTGGTTTGACATCAGAGTCACTAAGGATAGTTAGCCCAAAAGTATAATTCTCTTTTTACTAAAAGTTTATTTCAGACATTCTTTTTCACATTCTATTAGAAATTTCAGCCATCTCTAATAGCTACAAAATGGAATGCAAAGACACTATTGATCAATATTAATTCTAATAATAAAGGTAGCATAACAACCTCACAAACTTCACTGGACAATAAAAAAGAGTTACTAACAAGCCCAGTGTGCTGGTACACACCTTCATTCCTGGTACTCAGGAGGCAGAGGCAGGCAGATCTCTATGAAGTCAATGCCAGCCAGCTCTACACAGCTGCACCTCGTCCCACACAAGCAAAAAATCAAACAAAAAACAGAAACTAATGTGTTTTTACCCTTGTCTATATCCCCCTTAAGAAAACTGTCCATACTAAACAAGAAAAAGAAAACCACAAATTATTCATAAATTTACGAATTTCCACCCTGCATGTATCAACTAGTACATAAAGTAAAATGAACGTCAATGTTCTCTACAGAGCGTTCAGTCCTAGGTGAAGTCCAAATTTTACATTTCCTGATTGAAATGACTCATAAAACTTGAAAGTTTTCAGATTAAACGTGTCCTTTGAGATCATGGTTAATCTTGGAACGCACTCGGAATATAAACTGGTCAATAGTTTAAAAGAATAATTAAATAGTTTTTCCCCTGGATTCAGAAAGAACCACTCTGTCTGTCTCCTACTTTAACGTATACACGGCAACGTAAGGATGTGACTTCTTAACAACTACAATAAACAGACCTGTAGAAATTGATCAGCAATCTTTTTCGCTTCATCAATGGTTGCTTTCTGTGCCATTGCACTCTTGTGTAAAAGCTCTGCGTGCCGTTGAGATACATCCTAAAATGTAAAAGACACAGGTGAAAAATGCAAGAAAATTGAATATTCACAATCCCAGTTACACTGTGTTTAAAGGAAAGCACTTTAAATCAATCACTGCTGGTATTTGCTATCTTAAATAATATGTTCATTTTTAAATGATTTTAATTATTTTAAATAAATATTTTCCATCAGTCTTTGACTAAGAGACTCTTTTTGTCACCCACATTTGAATGCAAGTAATCTTGAGGCTTAAGTCAAAAGAGGATCCTTCCAATCGGTAAATTCCTATCTCACAGAAATTAAATAGAATATATTCCTTATTGTCTATTATTCAACGAGTATTAACTGTTGCACATTTCAATATGTACACAGATGAAATTTCCAAATGCAGCACTTTCTGTGCTTAAACTTGTCTCAAACTATGATCTTGGCCTAACCCCTGCTGGCCCTCAAAGTCATCCCCTAGATTTCCTCATCCACATGTATCCAGTAGGAAACAGATGAAAGGCACATGACAACCATTTGTCGGGTACTGCTCTAAAATATTTCTGTTAACATAGGAAGGCAGAACTTGGTTAACAGTCAACCAACTCTATGAAGTAGATCTTTTGCTAACCCCTTTCAATCATGAAGAGAATGAGTCACAGGGATAATTGGTTAAAATTATGGATGGATTCCAAGCAGAGCTCCAGAGCCCAAGTTCCTGTCTACAGACATGGATGGTTTCCTCATTTTCCCAGCACATAGGCTCTTTCCTAGCTTTTAGGATCATTCTCTTTAGTACTACAGCTCAGTCCTCTGTCAAGATATATGAGACCCTAAAAAGAACATTTTCTGTTGTCACCCAACAGCCAATTTCCCTGTCGTCGTGTTCTCAGTTTCAGGATAAATATCAGTATCAGTTATCAAATCTCCCCTTGCATGTAAGCCCCATTCTCTTCCCCTACTGGTCTGGGACTTTCAGTATGCTAAGTACTCAAAGCCAACACCTCACACTGCTCTGCCAGAGCAGTCACATGCTCTATTCTCACTTCTAATTGTGTAGCACTGTGTCACAAAGCTATACTGGGCACTCCTACTGCTTTTCATATGAATCTCACTAGGCTCTCAAGGAAGACAAAGAGACAGAGACACAGAAAGAGAGAGACAGAGAGAGAATATTTTGTGGGTTCTCTGGAAATCCTCCAAAGAGGATATGTGTGCTCTGTTTGCTAGCTGGCCTGACTCCTAACCAATGAAACTGACATGTTGCCAGAAACAAAAGAAACAAGCCAGAAAGGATAGTCATCCTCCCAGCATCCCATACATCACCCATCTTCTTCATCCAGGGTTTAATAGCTGCATGAATTCCCACTACTTTAGACTTTGTTACAACGGATTAATTGCAAAGCTAAGCCCGACACCTACAACACAACTGGATTCTTCTTGCTCAACTTTCTGCACATCTTTTTCCCACTGTTGAAACAATGGCACAAACATCTCAGAATATTTGGATAGAAGATTCTGTCTGTAAAACATAGTAATAAGCATGGTTTTATAACCCTGAAGTTAAGGCAAATTACACATTCTCAGAAAAATAAACATTTGGCTTACTTCATACTATGAAAAGAGAAGAGAAAAATAACTGAAATAATACGATGTTGGAGAGAAAAGAGAGGTTAGGTAACCTCGTTAATAAAGTATGTAGTCAAAATAATAATGTGTGTAGTCCTAAGTTATTACTAAAGAGGCTATGCCACATGCCTTCCCTCTTGAACAAAGAGGATTCATTGCCATATAAATTTTCCATCATTACTTATTTTGCTTGTAACAGACTACATTTCCCTCTTACTAAATAACAGATTCTGATATAGCAAGTTGATGTACTGCGAATGACATACACTTTCACCCTCAGGTACTCACATAAGGGAATAGTTAAGCGAACAGTCTTTTCCCATTGTCACAGTGGTTTTCGCAGAAACTGGTGATTACAATTTGAGAATCATTCAAACTACTTATAAGAGTATCACTATAATGTAAGGCTCATATTTACAATACAAGCGTATCTATATAGTCGAGTATTATTTACTGCCCTACACATAATTAATGCTCTGGTGCTGACCCTTCATTCATTCAGCCAGCAAATTACAAAACATCAAGTGTCAGTGAATTTTACAGTAATACAGTTACAGTGTTATCTAAAAGGCAAGAAACTGGCTATATTCACTGTCTTCTAACTTATATATCTCAATTCTGTAAAACTGAGGTTCTAAAACTAAAAAAATTTCTGTTCGGTGGAAAACAAAGGTGATTGCTGTTTTCAGTGGAGATTCATATCAGTGCAAAATGATAAAATGGAGTCTGAATTTATTTGCACTAATGGAGAGTAATAAACAGCACAAATTTTGTAGTTCAGAGAAGCCAACAACTTTACCTTTCCTTTTGTTGTGTTTTATAAACATACAGAAGTTTGCTATTCAGAATTTTCATAGAAGCATTTATATCTTGGCGAAACTGCTTTCTCTTTGCAAGGTAGGACTTTGTGAGGTCACCTACACATGAAATAAAATTTTACTAGAAGGTAAAATTGGAAGTTACTTTGTTCCCATTCAAATGGATATGGGATATGATGTATGACGAATATTGCAGATATTTAAAATTGATACAATAGGCATCATTTCAAAAAACAAGGGTTGTTGACTATTTTTTTAACAGTTACATTTTCTAAGAACAGAATTTCTGTTTACCTGTGTGTTCATGTGCACATGTGTGTCTGCGTGTGTGTGTACATGTATGTATGTATATATGTGCATGTATATATACATATATATATATATATAGAGAGAGAGACATTTAATTATAGATTAGAAAGATCCAAGTCAAAAATGGTCTCTATTTTTTTAATATGTACATAAAGATGTGCAAAGACAGCATTTAATTTTCCCCTTAGGACCAGTTAATACTCAAAACGTTATACAGTACATATTCTTCGTTTCAAATGGTTCTCTTAGGATAGAATCTAGTTAGAACACATTTGACAAAGCACAATTATACTTTATTTTTAAAACTGCTAAAAACATATGGATAAAACACATAGTGAAAGCTAGTTTTAATTACTGTACTGTACTTTATGGTACCTAGACACTATATGGGGGATTCAAATTAAATACAATTTAAATTATTTTTCTTAGATTGCCTAACACATGCTTATCTGTAAGTACTGGAATTCTATAATATTTCACTAGCAGCAATCCTGTACTCATTGTATCACTTTACATCAAGGTCCTACAGACAACAACTATTTTTAGTACTTATGAATCATCCCTGCCGTGATACAAACACATAAATTTATGTATCTCATAAATATACTGGGGACTCTTCATAATCCAAGTTCTTTGTCAGCACCAAACAGACAAAAGCTTTCCAATACATTTGTTTGAATTGTCTTTAGAGATGAGTCAAAAAAATCAGTGAGAACTCATAATACTGTTGTCTCTAGGAAGTATCCAAAAGTTAGTCACTTTGTAAAGACGTAGGTGCATTCATGTGTGGCTAATAGTCTGCATGAGGTCAAGCATCTGACCTCACACTTCTCCCTAGTGTGGGTGGGGAGGGAGCAAAGTACTTTCTTTACTTTTCCACATAAGTAACTCATTCATATTAATGGTTGTATGAAAGGGCTCTCATCAGCACTGTTATCCTAAAAAAACAACTTCAAAAGTCCAGAAAAGCTAAATGAATCAGAACAAAAAAATGACGTGCTGAAACCAATAAATACAATAGCCAGTAGTTTAAAAATGTAGATTATCTCATCCACTCCAAGCAGTAACACACACCCCACTCAAATTCTACTGTGTGAAACACACATACCTCTCCAGGCTGTTAAAAATATTTCAATTTTCTCTTTAATCCCAGCACTCCGGAGGCAGAGGCAGGCAGAAATTTGTGAGTTGGAGGCCAGCCTGGTCTTCAGTGCCAGTGCCAGGATAGGCTCCGAAGCTACATAGAGAAACCCTGTCTCAAAAAAAATTACATTTCCCAGTTTAGAAAGCAAAGAAATGTATAAAAACCAAATGACAACCCATATATAAAGCAATCCTATATGTGTGAAGGAGACATTAAATGGGGCCTTTTAGGTCAGTGGAACTCTCTCTCTCTCTTTTTCCACTTTTAGACACAGAGTTTTCTCTGTGGCTTTGGAGGCTTTTCTGGAACTGGCTCTTGTAGACCAGGCTGGTCTCGAACTCAGAGATCTGCTTACCTCTGCCTCGGGAGTGCTAGGATTAAAGGTGTGTGCCACCACTGCCCAGAGGTCAGTGGCTCTCTTGTGACGATGTGAAAGGTATATGACTGAAATATAGAACTTGTGAATGGGGAGCATCTCCTAAAAACATACCTTGAATTTCCTGTAACACCTTCTGAACAGACTCTCTATGAAAAACATACAAAATTCTTAAATGAGTATTTGAAAATTCAGTTCATTTGGAAAGAAAATATTATTCGGCGTATTACAGACAATGATTCAATTTATGAAACCATCTTCCAATGACAACCAAACAGTACTTGACATATATCACCTTGCTTGCTCTTCATCTCGATCTGAAGAAGCACTGTCCTCATCAATGTTTTCAAACCCGGGGTTTTCTTCTACATTGAAGAAACAGAAAATACAAAAATAAGTTGACTATGGAATTTCTACGCTTGCTAGATAAGAAAAGTACTTTTAAATCCCACATGTGTGCACAGGTCAGATGAAAACAGGAACATGCCTGGGGATATTTTATTTAGACATTTGTACAAGCCTTCCAGGGTTAAAGTAATTTTAAATCATGTCCTTGCCGGGAGACAAGTTGGAAGTGAGGATGGCTTAGGCTAGCATTCCTGGGGTAAGAACATTAAGGGGGAACCTAAAATCAACAAACAAGCTTGAGATATATAGAGATAACACGTTTTAAGCACTTTAGATGTCCTGCAATCTGAAGCAATGGTCCTGGGCTTGAGCTAACCTTATGTACCACCTGCCAAAAGATAGGTCAGACTGTACATTGGGATAAGCACAGCCTTGCACAACACCCTCTCATCGTACCTGGCTTTTGGGGAACATTGTGCTTCAAGTCATCATCACATTGAGAACCTGAGGGATCCTGTGGGCGCTTCGCAGTTTTGCTTGTAGCCTTCTTCCCCTTGGGTGGCATGTCTACTGTGCCCCGGTGTTAGCCCCAGCTCCTAAACCTTGTGATTGCAATGACATACAAAAGCCCAAGGAGTTAAATTAGAGTCATAGAAGAAGGTACGGGGTTCCATGGAGAGGGAGACAGGGCATCTTCTCTCTGTACTGGAGCAGGGGGTTCATGGAGGATTACAATGACGTGGTGGTTTGTCCTGTCCAGTCTCCATGATGAGTGTGGAGCTGGCTCTGTCGTACGTATCTCCACCTATATACCTTCTGCTGGGTTCCTGCCTTGGGGGGAGGGGGCAGGGGATGCGGGCGCGGGTAAAATTGCGCCCTGTGTTCCAGTGTCTGACTATCCTTGTACTGGTGTATGGACGGCGGGACTAAGCAATTTAGTACTGACTCAGTCACCATGGCTATGTCACCAGAAACGAAGCTGTGCCACACTCGTCGGAGACGCCCCTGCCGCTTCGCATTTTGAAGACACAGGAGGCGCTCAGGGGCCCTGGTGCGAATAAGGAACATAGCAGGCAGAGATGTACAGATGTAAAAGGTTCGCACTCGGTCCCTGCCTCACATACGGATTCCCTGACCCTCTCTCGGGACCTAATGGAAGGCGATTCCCTTGCACTCGCTGCCCTCCTGAGCCTCCCCTTGGCTGAGGCCTAGGCAACTCACCAGGATATCTCCTCACAGGCGGCCCAGGCCTTGCCTCATGAACCCACACGCTCCTCTGCCAGTGGCCGCTGAGCTTCTTGGAGCCAGTGTCCTCAGCACTGGAGCTCAGAGAGTCCCAGGCCACCAAGGTCACCTACCTAGAGACCAGGTCCTACCACACTTCCTTTCGGGCTGCTTTCTCCTCAGGCCGCTAGTCACACTCTGCTGGGATTCTGTTTCTTGAGTGGAATCTCACAGGTTGGCTGGCTCGATGCGCATGCGTAAACTCAAGAGGCTGGGACAATGCGCATGCGTGAGCTCAACAGCTCAGGCCACGCCCCCACCAGTCATGCTTTTGGCCAGAGGCATGCCTGAGACTGGCAGTGGACTCAGCACCTGGATTTCACTGCTACTTCCTCTGTCATAAACCTTTCACAGCGCCTGAGATTGCAGGGGGTGGAAGCACAAGAAGACTGGGTGTCCCTCAAGGCCCTTTAGAGGGTCTCCTTCAGGACTCTTTTATCCTTTAGCCTCATTCCATTTCACTCACTGTGAAATAAAGAAGAGCCTTGGCATCGCCTCGCTCTCTAATAAGTTCCCCACCAAGGGGCTGTACTAGTTAAGACTCTCACATCCTTGTGTTGCGGTGTATACATTAAAGTAGGAGACAGACAGAGAGGTTCTTTCTGAATCCAGGGGGAAAACTACTTAATTATTCTTGTAAAATACTGATCATTTTATATTCTGAGCGCTTTCCAAGATTAACCATGATCTCAAAGGACACGTTTAATCTGAAAACTTTCAAGTTTTATGAGTCATTTCAATCAGGAAATGTAAAATTTGGACTTCATCTAGGACTGAACACTCTGTAGAGAATATTGACGTTCATTTTACTTTATGTACTAGTTGATACATGCAGGGTGGAAATTCGTAAATTTATGAATAATTTGTGGTTTTCTTTTTCTTGTTTAGTATGGACAGTTTTCTTAAGGGGGATATAGACAAGGGTAAAAACACATTAGTTTCTGTTTTTTGTTTGATTTTTTGCTTGTGTGGGACGAGGTGCAGCTGTGTAGAGCTGGCTGGCAATGACTTCATAGAGATCTGCCTGCCTCTGCCTCCTGAGTACCAGGAATGAAGGTGTGTACCAGCACACTGGGCTTGTTAGTAACTCTTTTTTATTGTCCAGTGAAGTTTGTGAGGTTGTTATGCTACCTTTATTATTAGAATTAATATTGATCAATGGTGTCTTTGCATTCCATTTTGTAGCTATTAGAGATGGCTGAAATTTCTAATAGAATGTGAAAAAGAATGTCTGAAATAAACTTTTAGTAAAAAGAGAATTATACTTTTGGGCTAACTATCCCTAGTGACTCTTATATCAAACCACAGTATTCAGTGGTTTAAGGAGTACTTTGGGGAGATTCTTTGTAACACTCCTTTTTTACAGGTTATATTTGTGTATGTAGGAGGGTGCATATATGTGTGTGTGAGAGAGAGAGACAGAGACAGAGAAAGAGAGAGAGATTTTGTGTGAAATATGTGTATTATAAGAAGTTTTTTTTTGGTTTTACAAGACAGGGTTTCTTTATATTGTTTCGGGGGCTGTCAGTCCAGCCTGGCCTCGAACTCACAGAGAGATCTGCCTGCCTCTGCCTCCTGAGTGCTGGGATTACAGGCTTGTGCCACCACCACCTGGCTCAAGATATTTTATTTTAAAAGTTCCCTTTCTTACTTCTTTTTAATTACCTTTTCTTTTTATTGAAAATAGATTCTTCTGTCATGCAACAAATCCTAAAGACAGTTTCCCATCCCACCAATAGTTCCAGGTCCTGTTAATTCCCCTCTACCCCGGATACACTCCCCCTCTATTTCTTTACAGTAAAACATATCCTAAGTGTTTTCTTCAAATCTAATTGATGCTGTTTTAGGAAAGTGGCAATTGCCGCATTCTGTCAAGAGCTTGAGAGTTCCCTCTGTGAAAACCAGGTGGTTAGGGAGAGTTTAAATTTGGAGAACATGCAGCTCTACTGAGTCTGAGAACCATTTTCCTGAGGATCCAAATAGGAGGGATTTCTTCTAAATGTTAGTGTCCACTAGGTTTGGAAACTTATTACAGAACGTTCTGCAGTGGCCCTGTTCCTCTCTCTGTGGCACCAATAGGACCATGTGTTTTGTACAGAGGCTCTTTCATTTTCTTCATTGAAATGCGAAACTACTGCATGGCCTTGTCACTTTTTACTAGTATCAAGAACTGTCCTCTGAGTTCTCTAAAGTTAGCTGCAAAACCACCACAGGGTCTTTTCATTTGCTGCTAGTACAAGGAAGTCTTCTCTGAGTTCACTCTTTTGATCCTTCCTTCAGGTGGAAGTCCCCACCTCTCATATTGCATTCAAAATGTGCAAATAAAGTATCATCCTTAAACAGAGTTCTTGCCTCTTCCAAGTCTGTCAGTAGTCTCTTTTTCTTAATTCTCAGATTTTCCAATTCCCTCCACAAATGCACCGCCCTTCTTCAAAGGAAAGTTTCTTTTGCTGCATCCTGCCTTTGCTTTCTTACCTCCAGCGTAGTAGCTTCCTCTGAAGTAACTCACCACTCTGTTTCCCTGCTTTGCTTATGTTCCCCCCATTCTTGTCTTTATCTAGAGAACCCATTAGTCTCCCCCTTTTATCCAAATCCCCCAGCAGCTTCTTCCAAACGCATTTTAACTTCTTAAATATTATTCCTGTTTGTATGCTTATCCATGCCTTAGGAATATGACTGAAATCGCAGAAACTGGACAGTCACATTCCCATTGTTCCACACATGCCACAGTTCTTTCCCTATAGCACATAGCAAGTCACTGTTCTTTGATTGAATGAGAAAACGTTTAAAATCTAAATGATGTTCTGCCTCATTTGAACAGACATAAAGTAATGTGTCTTGTCGTTTCTATGGAACGTAAATAGAAATAATTTTACATGTTCTATCATTCAGTTGATATGAAGCCATTGCCTGGGTGGGAGGGTGGAGGAAATATATGGTACATCATGTTATGGACCTGCAAGTCTTTTTCTCTGTCTACTTTGGATTTCTGCTGCTCATTCACCAGCCTATTTTTTTCTGTAGCTTATTCTACACCTTTTTCTTCCTGTGATTATGTTTCATGCAAGTTTACAACTTCAGTATTTTAATGAACATTAAAATCAGCTTAGATGTCACCATGTTTTGTATTTATAACAAGCATCCTCTGATGGTGAAAGTTTGAAAATTTTGGACTTTGAATGTTTTGAATGTGACATGGAGAGTGGGGATTTCCAACAGTGCTAAACAGTTCTTTTGCTTTGCCTTGTTTTGTTTTAGAGTATCAAAGATCTCGAGGATAATCACCAATGTCTAGATGCTTTTGAGCAATGCACAATGAAAGAAGAAATGGATAACTTGAAGAAGAAACTTACCACAGAAAACGTAAGTAGTGTATATTTAATACTGACTAGCAAGTATGTATGTGATGCTTTGGCTGTAGTCTTTGAAGAGAAGTGTATAGTAACTACTGATATCTCTGTTTTGAAACAGCAACATCAGAATGTAATGGCTATGGAAACATGTCTTTGTTCTCTGCTCTCTGGGGACCATTAAGAAAAGCTGTGATAGCAAATTATGATTGTCAACATGACTGGATTGAGAATGAGAATTGGTTAAGGAATTAGTAAACACATGTGTGACAAATATGTTATGGTATTTACAGAGACGACTGGGAGAGAAATAGGAGAATTTCTTGCCCTAGATGTGGCTAGAATTATATAATAGGCTGGGAGACTACTTGGAATTAAAAAGTCAAAAAACAAATAAAACTAGTGCATAAATCTTCATTCTTCCTGGACTAGTGCAACTATTGCTGTGGCCATTGCTGGTAGATATCAGATTCTAGACTTTTCAAGCTTTCAATGCACACACACACACACACACACACACACACACACACACACACACACACACACAAGTTTTCACAGAAAACTCCACATTTCCAGAGATGGAATGGGGATACGTTACTCATCTGTCTTCTTTTCAAGAATAATGTTTATATTTTTATGTATGTTTAGGGGAAGGGGGTGTGTCTCTGGAGGTCAGAGGACAACTTGTGAGATTTGGTTCTTTCTTCCACAGAGTAGGTTCTAGGAATCTAACAACCGTTGTGTATGTGTGTGATTTGGGAGTGAGGGGGGTGTCTGTGTCATATTGACACACACAATAGTATCTTACATATGCACACATATATATATAATATCACATGTATATGTATAGGTATATTGGAGATAATACAAACCCATATGTCAGTAGAATAAGGCTCACATAATGACAGACACTGTTTATACTTCTCACAGGCAAATAAAGTTTTAAAGACCATTTTATTTGAAGTAATAAAGCACAACCTAGGTTTCCTCTAAAACATTGGTATAGTTTATATCACATTCATTAGGCATCATACCTATTACTAATGTTTAGGAACAGTCTGGATGCGTGTTGTAGACCTATAGTGATTCAGATCCAGGGAGGGGTATTATTGTTAATTTTAAGAGCTGGCACATTATTGGGTAGAAAACCAGAGAGGAAGACATGGAAATGTTTCTGAGTAGGGTATTTCAAGCACCATGTGTAAATAGTGAAAGAGAAAACATGGACTATCTGAGAAACTCTTAGAAATGTGTTGAATAGGTAATATTCATTAGTAATTTCTTTATCTAAAGCATTGAAGAGAGAACTTCATAGGAGATTGGATCATTGTCATATACACATTAGTATGCACCATGAAGTTATATATAAGGAGAAATGATTCTGTGACAAAATCTTCAGTATACAAAGATGATGAGAAAGGAGAAGTCTGCAAAGGTGTACTAAGAGAATAAAAAGTATCAGGAAAATATAGCAACAGTAAGACATAGACCTTCATAAGTTTTGTAAGTTTACTCTAATTATGTAAAAATCTAAAAAGGCAAAGATTGAAGGCTGTTAGTTATATATCACTTAGAATTTTTGCGGTAACTTTCAAAAGAGAACAATATCAAAATGTATTATTTTTAGAGGAAAAGGGGGACAGTACTTTTTGAAGAACCTAGAATTCGTTTATTGTTGAGAGATATAACTAATTCATAGTTTTGCAAAAATATATCCATGAAGGCTATGTAACAAAATTAGTATACAATATATAGCCAGTATTGCATTGAAATCTACGTAGCTTCAATGCTGGGTAAAACACCAGATTCCTCCTTGTATCTCTAAGAGAATAA